GCATAACTTGGGTTTGGCTTCCATTGGATGCGGGAGAAAAGGGCCAAGTTAAGAGGAAGGAGCCAGGATGTGAGGATTTAAAGCCAGAAGAAAGCTAATTTTAGATGATAGAAATTAGAGATGGAAAAGATCCACAGGATTGTTTTACCAAATCCATTCCCCTGCCAGTTTAGGAAGATCAGATATGAGACTGACCTCAACCATTAGTTGCATGGTGAGGGGCAGGCAGCTGTGTGCTGTTAAGATGCAGTCACAAGGACAAAGTTCTTTCTAACAAGCTAAAGGGTAACAGGGGATATATTTAGGGATCATAAGCAGGAAAAATGGATTTCCATTTCTGCTCAGTCAGTGCTCTGGGTTCTAAAATAAAAATGTCAGTAAAAATTGGTTCAAGTGGGTACTACTTAAATCAAATCAAATCAAATACTTCTGCCTCTTTGCAAGAAGTTGGGATAGAAATATTTAAAATCAAGATAAAAGTATTCAGAAAATATCTTCACATTCTTTGGATAATATGGCCACCATGTTTTGTTCTTAAGATTCCTTGTCTACAGGATTTGGGCTGTGGATGGATGATTAGAGTGTTTGTGCCCCAACATCTCAGAAGAGTGGTTCCATAATTCCAGTATATAGACTTGTACAAATCCACATAGGGGAAGTAGGGTGAAGAATAAAAACAATATGAGTTTTTCATAGCATTAATCTTATTAAAAGCAAAAAAATCATGTTAACTTAGATATTGAAATCTTCTTACAGTTCTGCTTTTAGAAAACCTTTCTTTCTTTTTAAAATAGTATAGGTACATGTATTTTTAATCACCTTTCTTGGCAAAATGAAAGTGGATAAGTAACTCTATATAAATCTCACCTTTAAAAATGAGTCTATTGCATTCAGATTCAAGGTACAACTCCTTCAGAACAGCCTGAGGGCATTTTAAAAACAAAAGGAAATGCACATAAAAACTAAACCTCTATCAATTGTGAAACAATCTATTATTTTAGGTGCAACCAAAAAAGAAAACACAGAATAATTATTTGTGCCATCAACGGTAAGATGCAACCTGATGTCTGAATTATTAATATGTGAAAAGACGTGACCCTAAGAATCAATGAAATATAGTATATAATTCACATAATGAATATTCATTTATTTAATGCATGATTAATGATTAGAAGTATTCTTACTAGGTATTTATTCATTAATACAATGCATTTGAGTTCAGACTCTAAAGAGTTTCTAAATGATGCATTCAATCATGTCTTGTATTCTTCATTCTTTTCTCAGTAACATTTCCCAAAACTTTGAAGTTTTCCAAGTTATTTTTAGATATTTCTCATTTGATAAACTATATGTTTGGGTGTGCCAAGTGCTGTGGCTATGCCACTCATTCTATAGCCTCAAACATTCAGAGCTCAGTGGATGTATAGCAGACTAAAAACCATTGTAAGATATAGGATATGCTTCTTTAAGGTGGGCGGGGGTGGCTGCTTTGAGCTGCTAGACATATTCACAAGGATGATGTTCTTCCTGATAAGCTAAAAAGTAACAGAGGATATATTTAGCTTTTATAAATAAGAAAGATGAATTTAAGTTGCTGCTTACCCTAAATATCTCTCCAAATCATTCTCAAAGAGAATTGCTGAAATTACTGTCACATTCTTTAGAAACAATGCAACTTTCTCCCCAAGACCAATTCTTAAAATCTCTTAGTATTTCACTAGTACCCCAGTAACAGATAGTCACCCACAAAATTGCAGGCTTTATGTTGATGTTCAAATTCCCCAGTCAGTACAATTAACATTTTTGGCATTGCAAAACACAAAGAAACTAACTAACCTGAAGTGCATCATAGTTTTATAATTGGGAAAGATTGTGAGGCTGGTTCATAAGGAGAGAATGTTAGAATTTTTTGTAAAAAACACACACAACAAAAAACCAAGTTTCTATTGTACTTCAACACCATACCATATTGTACCATACTCTAGTAAATTCGGTTATACAGAGATTTCATTAAATTAGGACCATTACACCACCAGAAACACAGAACAACGATTGATCAATGTTTGTTTTCTTATTCTTTAGCTATTCATGGTGCACCTACAAAGAAACAGTAAATTTCAGGGTCAATGAAATGAAGATCTGAATTGAGAAAACTGTCATGACCTCTTGCTAGAAAAACCCACTTTGGCCCCATTCACTTCTAAGCATCTCCTTTCTATACTGCTGACACTTCATCTGAGATAGTAGAGAGACACTAATGATGCTCTGTGGAAATGTTAGTAGCTATAAACACGAGGCATAACCTTAGTGTTTCTTGAAGACAGTTATAAGGTTCCCAGTTGTTCATGTTGACATTGAAAAACAAACTGATAGGAAAACCAAGGTGCCATTATAAAATAATCAGAATACTGAAATAGCAGTGTTGTTTGTGCCACAGGTTCAGGGTAGGAAAGAATTTTAATATGTTTAGAATGGGGGTTTGACCTAACATTCTGTTGTGTGATGAAGTTGAAAATATGTAACTTGGGATAAGAAAACAATCTGTAAGGAGAGGGAAAGGAAATTTGTGGCTTTTTTCCATTTGAAAATAATTATGGTTTCCTTTAGCCAACTCTAGGAGATTTAATAACTTTTTGTATTGAAGAAGGGTGGCCCATGCCATATGGCTACCCCCACTTCTGTGTTCAAACTACAAATAGCACAATTTGTTCATTGTAAATCCACACTGTAATTCTTCTTTATGTCTTAAAATTACATTCAAGACCCCTTTCTGGCTCTTAACTGCTTTTTAAAAAACTCAACTGGCAAGTGACTGAGGGAATTGAGGGAATAATTTCCAAGTGAGTGACAGAAAACTGTACCCTTTCCGCAGAACATTTCAAAATAACCTCTGATGAGGCCACAATCCATTTTAATTACCTATGCAAACATCCCGTTTCTAATTGTGTGAGCAATGAATGGTCTTGCAACTTTGTGTAATTGCTTGTAACATTGTTGCTTAGATACAGAATGCTTTATGAGGGACACCTATCCAACTACAAAATTAAGGGCCAGGGTATTTTGAACTTTGAACTAAAAATCAGCCATGCAACCTTGGATAATTCTGGTTTTCCCTTAAAATTTTTTCCTCCTGTTTATATAGAGAGAAGGAAAAAATGATTTCAGAATATTATCAGATTATTTCAAGCAATTTATCACATTAAACAATTCATTCAGGCAGAATAAACATTGTTTTCAATAGATGTAAAGGAGGAGTTCTAATATTCTGCTTGTTTAACATGTTATAGCATCTATTTTTTTTAAAACAAAGGACATTTAAAGAATTTTATAGAGATTTTTATTTTGTCCCTTTTCCAAAAAAGATTCAAGGGAAAATTATGGCTACTTGGCAATTGACGAAAATGTTTAAAGAATGACCACAATCATCATGATTCACTTATGAGTACTGTTTTAACTATAAGGTACAAGAACTCAATCAGAAGCAAATCTCTTAAGCTGTCAGTCTGTTAGTATTTATTTTTCCAAATTTGTAGTTATGATCACCACCATATTACCTGTAAAATCCTTCATAGTCCTTGGAAGCAGCATACTACTTATATGAATTAATAATTCCTTCTTCAAATGATAACATATGCTTGTATTTTTAAAGAATAATTGTTCGTTTTCCCTAAATGAATTGCTGGCATTACCTCTAAAACATACAGCTAAAGATATCCTTACAGTTTTGAGGGGTATGAGCAATATAATGCTGACACAGTGGGTACCGATTATTAAATAATTCTACCAACTCATTGCAAACTGTTTACTGAGAGGGTGAATTTAAATGAATAACTACATTTTAACCATTTAAATCACAATGCAGATTAAATTCCATGACCAAATTATTCCAAGACTATACCATTCATTCTAACTTTGTGAGACCATTATTAATGACACATGCAACGTGAGGACACCGTTTGCAGTGGTTGGCACAGCACACTTACACGACACATTTCCTTGATAGGGTGGGTAGGTTTGATCTGACTGTGTTGAGATAAACAGAGTCCAAGTGAGGGAGAAGTCAGTGCAAGGTCCATCTGCAACTCAAGAATGGTTTTGTAGGGTGAATGGAAAGAGGAAGATACTTGGATGAATTGAGTTTGAGTTTAGTGAACTATTGGGGCATTTCAAAAAGTAGTTCTCGAATTGTAAGGATTCATTTGCGCAGAGTTGATATACTGGATTGAATAGTGTCCTCTTAAAGTTTATGTCTACTGGAACCTGTAACTATGACCTTATTTGAAAATAGAGTCTTTGCAGATGTAAGCAAGTGCAGGTGGCCCCAATCCAATATGACTGTTGTCCTCATAAGAAGAGAGAAATTTAGACAATGGTGGAAGGCAGAGGTGGGGAATTGAGTGGTGCATCTACAAGCCAAGGGGCATCAAGTGTTGCTGGCAATCACAGAAGCTAGAGGAGAGAGACCTGCAGCAAATTCTTCCTTGGAGCCTTCAGACAAACTGCTGACAGCTTGACTTCAGACTTTTGACCTCCAAACTGTGAGAGAAGAAATTTTGGTTGTTTTAAGCTATCCTGTTTTTGGTAATTTATTTGGCAGCCTTAGGAAACTATACAGGTGATAATTTGTTTGATAGTAAATTGATTTACTCATGGGACAATAAAATCTTGATAGAAAAGGGAGTTTGGCCGGGCTTGGTGGCTCAGTCTGTAATCCCAGCACTTTTGGAGGCCAAAGCGAGTGGATTGCCTGAGCCCACAGAGTCGAGACCAGCCTGGGCAACTTCGCGAGACTTCGTCTTTACAATAAATAAAATATTAGCTGTGTGGTAGCGCGCGCCTGTAGTTCCGGCTACTTGGAAGGCTGAGGTGGAAGGATCCCCAAAGACCAGTAGGTTGATGCTGGGATGGCCGTGAGTGTGCCATTGCACTCCAGCCTAGGCGACGGAGTGAGACTCCGACTCCAAAAAAAAAGGGAATTTAAGACGAGCAACTTGTGTGCTATGCCTATGCCAACACTTAGTGTGTGGACATCCAAAAGAGGTAAGAGGATAAAAAGCAAGAAAGTACCAGAAATAACTCAAACAAACCCTACTTAAAAAAAAGAAAAAAGAGAACTTCAACAGTGTCAAATGTAATGGAAATAATGAGGGGGATGAAAATTAGAGAAATGGGCTGGTGAGATGTGAGTTATTAGATACTTTCAAGAGAACATTTCCAAAAGAGCAGCACTTCTCAATCTTGAGTGTACATGATCACACACAGACCTTGTTAAAAGTGCAAGGTACAGAGCTACCTCTGTGGATGCTAATTCTATAAATCCAGTGTCTTATCTGAAATCTGCATTTTGGAAAGCATTCCAGGTGATTCTGAGGCAGAAACTTCTTGGACTTCAACTTGTGAAATGCTACTACTGTATTGGTGAGGTCAGGGATGAATCCAGGATTTGTGAATGAATCCAGGGTTTGTGGAACCAGAAACTAATACTATTTAGGGATTTTCTCTAAATAATGAATACAAAATTATGAATATAAAGTTAGGAACAAAGTGAATATTTATTTAGAGTGAGAAAAAAAATAACAAATTATAAATTAAAAAGTATTTTAATTATCCTAAACCACAAAGACAGTTTGAAGCTTCCAGCAATTTTCCATTTTTTTTTTTTTGTTTACATGTTTGGCTTCCACTTAAATACTTATTCAGAACATATTTGATTTATAATATCAATAATACTGAAAAATGTGCAAAATTAATCTGAAATTAAGGCATGCTCAAGAGCCCAAATGCACTTAAAAACTGTAGCTACCTTATATTCAGCTACATAACTGTAAATAAGTTACTCTTATGCTACCATCGAATAATTTCCTAATGAACATGTATTGGAGCTTTGTCATTGGAATACTTGTTTCTTTAGTCAACTTCTCCATGTTGGTATAAATTTTGTGGAATGCCAGGCAAAGTTGAGTGCAGTCTTTCATGATTAATTTTAATAAATAATTTATACTAAACATATAATGACAAAAATCAGGGTCATTAAATAAATTTATATACATATTTACTCAATTTTAGAAAGCAGAATCAGAAACTAAGTCTAGTATATATATATAAATTTATTTAATGACTCTGATTTTTGCCATTATGTGTTCAATATAAGGTCTTTATTAAAAATTAATCATGAAAGACTGTACTCTAAATAGATTTAGGCAAAGTTGAGTGGAATGCTTATCATTTATGAAGAAACAGTGCACCAGATATGCTAAAATACCATCCAATAATTTGGGATGCATAAAATATGTTAATTCAAACACAAACATATTAGTATTTGTAGTACCACTATTGATGTGTGCCCTACAAATGGGAATTCTGATTAATTTCATTCATTTCAGTGCACATGAAAAATGAAAAAATATATAGTACTTTTAAAATTGTGTCATATTGAGCAAATAATTTTTGATGAGAGAACATTCATTCTGACTAAGCATCAATGAGAATGAAACCTTCTATTTGTAACTTTCCACAGACTAGCTTCTGGCTCTATACCTTTCAAATCTTGATTCTTCTCCATATCAACCTACTTCTAGTGTCATTTGCCATATTGAAATACAATGCCTGGCCCTGCAACTTCATGTCATGTTGGAAATTTTATGAAAACATATGTCTTTGTGAACACATTGCTAGGGCTACTCCCAAGACCTTGGATAGTGGACCCATTTAAGGGGGAAGGACTAAAGCTTAAGCATTAACTTAATGGAAGATCTGAATAACAGGAACAGAAAACTGGCCTGCAGGGAGTAAAGAAACAGGATGTGGTGGATGGGCAGTGGAGTGCTCACCGTCTTGAGGAGTTAGGGAAGGTTAGCCAAGAAGAAAGGAGAGATGGAACAGTGGTTATGAAGAGTGATAGATTCACATGAAATGGTTCTATTTCTGGGGTTGATTTTTTATGTTTGTCAACATTAATAATACAGAGAAGGAGAAACAGAAAGAGAGAAAGAGAGGAAAAAACAAGGAGAAAGTGAAGGAGGAGGAGGAAGAGGAGAAGAAGGAGCAAAAAGTAGAGAGGAGAAGAGAAAAAGAAAGAGAATTAGGGTAGTAGTTTTGAAATTTCCAATCACAGACTAGGTTTTTTGCCCTCTCTCTTCCGCCTTCCTTGGAGTTGGTCTAAATTCTCGAAGGTTTTCTATGCTGTACTTGTATCAGGAGAGGATATTCTCTATCCTCTTGGACTTTGCCTGTGGAGCATCTCTTGCCAGTACTTGGATGTCAGTCTCTGTATCTGTATCTGAGGTTATTGCCAATGCTTTGTCCTACCTTGGCCTTCAGTCTTTGAACCCTTACCCTCTTCATTTTTTTTTTTTTTGCTCTCAACCACAAAGTATTCTCCCATCCCATATTCCTTCTGGAGAAACCTCGAACACAGCAAGGGAAGTATTAAAGGATAGGAGCAGTAACATGTTGAGCTAAAAATGGGGTTTATAACAAGCTTAAGACAGATTATCTCAATATAGCTATTTTCCTGGGAAAGCAGAACATGAATCCTCTGCTTTCTAAAATCTAGTGTGTATGTATATATATATACATATGTAAATTTATATAATGACTCTGATTTTTGCCATTGTAAGTGTTCAATATAAATTATTTATTAAAATGAATCATGAAAGACTACACTCTGTATAGGTTTTCTTTTTTATATTGAGTGGCCAGTTCTTTTAAGAGATTTTGGAATCTGATGTCTGAAAGTAACAACACAATCATAAGTGCCCACTTTTGGCTGTGTTCATATGCTGCCAAAAAAATGCAGAAGAAAAGTGGAAAATTCACCCAATCATTTGGATGTTTTCAAGTATTCAGATTTTTGGCATCATCCAGGCTAAATGTTTGGTGATTAATTGATTGGGTTGTTCATAGTCCACATGTTTGGCGTTGTATAGATAGATACTGATTATACTTTCAGATAGGGAAGTACAATGTGTTTTATGTGTTCACTTGGGACTCCAGAGCTAATGGTGTCAAATGAATTTTTCCCATTTGACCCCCATGGAAACAGTTCAGTTTCACTCATGTTTTTTAGTCCCACAAAAATGCAGGTGCAGATATTTTATTGCCTTTAAATCTCATAAAGCACTAAAAGATTTGAATGAGAAAAAGAATTCTGCTCTAGCAGGAAACATTTCATCCCAAGGAATAAAATTTTCCTTTCTGTATTCCAGCAAATGAACAATAAAAAATATATGAAATCATAGTCTCACCAAGTCTGAGAATAAACATGAAAACTTGAACTTTTTAAAAAAAAGGCAGTACTAAGAGATGGGATTAAGAAAAACTTTCATTAGATAGTATCTAAACATACCTTATTATTTGAACATGTCAAGATTTAGAAGATTTAGGAGTTTGGCTAGGTAATTTTTGCTTCATATAGTGACTCTTTGAGTTCTGTTTGTCTAGAGTTAATTTTTGTCAAGTATTCCCAGTTGGGCTGGACTATTTATTTTAAATTGATTGTGTGTTCTACATGGAACTGTAATAGAAAACTGGGAAAAACAGATCAATTTAGGGACCAGAGAACTACCAAAGAAGATATATTCACATCAATTTAAGAGACTTGGACCTGTGGACATTTCCTTCAGTACATCTAATGACTTAATTCAACAAATATTGACTGAGTTGTTTTCATTTGAAGAGCATTACTTGCCTTATTACCTTGGGACATGTAGAGTTGAACAGGGTAAAAATCATTCATTTCAGCTGACTCTAAGTTAAAGAATATTGTGCAGAAGCAAGTAATTTTATAAACATACACTTAAGGGAATAAATGATACCTACCAAATACAAATTAATGATCAATTGTCAATATTTCATGACATTGGGACCTAAAGGAGTTACTAACATATTCTTCAGAAAAATAAATATAAATTAGGACTCATTTAAGGAAATTTAATCCTTCCTGCTTCTGTCTGACACAGAAATCACTAAGAAGAAGAGACAGAAAAACAAAATTAGGGAATGAAGATTACAGTGTTTCTTTTATACTTGAATAATTTCAAAGAATATGCCAACATTAAATCAAACCTTCAAAAATTCTAGTAAATTAGCAAGCATTTGAGTGAAAAAGTGCCAATAATATGATAAGTGCATGTCAATAAACATGACTGAACCTGGGGAATTCTTTCATTCAGAAAAGATCAAGTTATTGAAAGACCAGGGGCAAAGGAAAAAAATTATTAATTGCAATGTGTCCTGATAAACTGAGAAAAGAGACGCACAATACACGAAAGCTTAGCTTTAAGGTGGATGACTAGTAATCACAAGACATATATAATTCAGGCAATAAATTGTGACAAATCAGTAAATAAAATTTCTAAGGTAGATCTTTTATTGCAGGCTGAAGCAAACTAATGTAGTACAGTAAGCATGACAGCAGGAGTATTTTAGCAGAGAGGTGCTATAAAGTATACCAGACGTACCCAGTGCAGATCAAAGGATTCTTGCTGCAGGAAAGTACATTCTGCTGTGGAAAGTTTTAATAAAACAGTGGAAGTTCCCCCAACCCTTAAGCTGTCCAATTTAATAGAAATAAGCATAAGACATATGTAACTCTGAGAGTGGAATTAAATAAATGTAGAAATAGGAGCAGCCATATTAGTTACTATCACAATTACAAGAGACCAATTCAGTAATTGTAATAGCAATCAAGACTTTTCTGTATTTAATTTATTTGTACAAATAGAGTCAGTGTATATATGTACAAATCAATGCAATGCAAGTGACCAAAGTGTCAGTTGGATTCATTCAGAAGACACTAAATTAATGAAAGATGTAGTGTAAAGGAGAGAAATTCATAAATACATATGTACCATACTATATATAAAGAAATGCCACAAAAACATAACTAATGACGATGTAAAGAAAATATTCTGTTCTAGTGTGAAGATTTAAAAGAGCAATCTCAAGAGAGAATAAATTAAGGTGCTACTAGTTAGTGCCTGAGTTGAATTTTAAAGGACAGATATGGGTTTCCAGAAGGGAAGAGAGTACATTTAGTACAAAGATATGGAGACTTTTCTCAGCAAGACAGGCTTAGGTGAGGCATGCTAGAACACCACTTGTGGACTGATAAATCAAAGTAGAGAAAACTGGCACACGTAGGTGGTAGACAGTCCAAAAGATAGGGACAATAGTTGAGTGTCAAATCCAGTTAAACTTAAGCTACTCAGATTCATGGTGATTTGATTTTGTAAGTTGTAGCAGTATAGTAGAGGAATCTAGGCTGGAGGAAAATTCAAAGTCAGAGGGTAGTAGCTTCATATTCTGGTGGTTTGCTTGGTTTGCTGTAGGACCCTCAGCAATCGCTATTGGGCTAGAAATAGCATGCAATTCCGAGGGAGGATAAATTAGAAAGGGCTAGGTAGGGTATCAATAACCCACTGAAGCAAGTTTGTTTCCAAGGAATAGTTTGGAAAGTGAAAAACATAAGGTTGTCCTTCCTTCCATCTAGGCACCAGTAATACTGGTTTTACAACAGCAAAACTAAATTTGTGCACACTTCCAGATGGAGACCCTAGTGTGCTGTTTGTCTTGGCAAGATGCATTTAAATTGGGGTTGGATGAGATGGTATATTCTAAGGAAATTTAGTGGGTAGAGATAAGAACTCAGTAAGGCTTCCTTTTCAATCCGCCATCTGCGGTGGGACCACCGCCAAGGTGCAGATTTTCATGAAAACCCTTACCGGGAAGACCATCACTCTCGAGGTTCAACCTCCAGACACAGTAGAAAATGTAAAGACCAAGATCCAAGATAAGGAAGGAATTCCTCCTGATCAGCAAAGACTGATCTTTGCTGGCAAGCAACTGGAAGATGGATGTACTCTGTCTGACTACAACATTCAAAAGGAGTCTACTCTTCATGTTGTGTTGAGACTTCGTGGTGGTGCTAAGAAAAGGAAGAAGAAGTCTTATACGACTTCCAAGAAGAATAAGTATAAGAGAAAGAAGGTTAAGCTGGTTGTCCTGAAGTACTATAAGGTGGATGAGAATGGCAAAATCAGTCGCCTTCGTCGAGAGTGTCCTTCAGATGAATGTGGTGCTGGAGTTTTTATGGCCAGTCACTTTGACAGACATTACTGTGGCAAATGTTGTCTGACTTATTGCTTCAACAAACCAGAAGAGAAGTAATTGTGTATGAGCTAATAAAAAACATGAACTAACAACAGCCACAACAAAAAACTCAGTAAGACAAACACGGAAGAAGGAATAAAGAACCATGTCACATTTAGGGAAAGGAGTATTGATTTCATATTCAAACCCAAATGCCTGTCTACAACCACCTGTAAATTGCTTTGTAAGTATCTTAAGTTTAAAATATCTAAACCCAAGCTTTGCTATTCTCCCTGAAACTAGTTCCTCCCTCTCTTTATTTCAGGTCGGGGCACCTAGTTGCTCAAGCCACAAGTTTAGGAGATATCTCCCTTATTTCTTTCATTCAATCCATCACCAAACCTTGGCAATTTTATCTGCAAAATGCTTCAGGAGACCGTGCACTTCTATCTCCATTGCCCTGTTTGGTTTAAGCCATAAAGTTCTCTGGACTAGATGACTGCCTGATAGTTTCTCCACTTCTCATTCTTTCACAACCCATTCTCCAAGTGTTGTAGGAGTTTTGAACTCCACTGTCAGCTTAAACCAGCAACCTGGGGTTCTTGTCCCACGACTGAGAAGATTAAGGAAGACAGACAACTAAAGGATGAGTGAAATAAGGAGTTTATTAAGCAACAAAGCTCTCTCCAGAGAAGAGAGGGGGCTCAAAATGGACTACCCAGTGCTAGGAGTTCTTCTGTGGCATTATTTTATCTTTTCTGGGGGTGTTTCTCTCATTAACATCTCATCCGCCTCTTACTTCCTGAGACCTAGTTCTTGTTGCGCATGTGGGTCCTTGACCAAAGTTACTCCATCTTGAATATTACTCATAAGTACCACAGAAAAGCCCCCTGGGATTGGGTTAAAACTGCAATGCAAATGCTATGTTATGATATTATAATAAGCCAAGGTCAAATTAGGACATTTAGTTAAGCTACTGTGCCTGCATTTAAACTGCAAAAAGTTCCTTTTAGCAGTACATCCTGGATTGAAAGGATGTTCTTAATCACATTAACCACATTTCCAGCCAACAATTATATGAAGGGGGTAGTGCAGGGGGGCGTTCCCGCAGGTGTTACGTCTCCTGGAGACCCTCCTTCTCTGTCTTCCTGACCAGCTTCTATCTCCTTTCTCACATGGAGCAGCTTCATCACTTAAAAGTATACATTGAGCAGGGCTTGGTGGCTAAGCCTGTAATCCCGCGCTTTTGGGAGGCTGAGGTGAGTGGATTGCCTGAGCCCGCGGGTTCGAGACCTGCCTGGGCAGCGAGACCTCATCTCTACAATAAATCAAAAATCAGCTGGGGGTGGTAGCGCGTGCCTGTAATTCTGGCTACTCGGAAGGCTGAGATGGAAGGATCGCCAGAGCCCAGCAGGTTGAGGCTGCGGTGGCTGGGAGCAGCCACTGCACTCCAGTCTGGGTGACAAAGTGAGACTCCAACTCAAAAAAAAAAAAAAGTATACATTGAAGCAAAGTATCTACTTAAAATAATTTAAAACTGCCGATTGCTCTTAGCATACATTAACATTTCTCATGACGATCTCTGTTGCTCTGATGTTCAGAGTAATCTGCCCCTGACTGTTCCTCCACACTCTTTTTCAGTCACTCTTCCATGCTTCAGAAACACTGATCTTTTTCAGTTCTTTAATCACACCAGGTTTTTCCTCAACATAGGGCCATTGTGTCCAGAATTTTCTCATAACGCTTCTAGGTCAAAAGAAATAACAGCTTGTTTACATGCTGCTGGGAAAGATCCAGATAGAGGGAGAAAAGATACTGCTATGGAAAGGGAAGAATTTCTGGAGTGATAACCTATAGGAATGAATGATCATGGTATCTACTCTGTAGGCCTAGTTAAGGGCTAGCATTAGTTAGGAGCATAGATGACTCATCCATAGTAACAGGAGGAAAAGTAGAAGATGTGGCATAAATGAAGGTAGGTGGGTATATATGGAGATTATCAAAGTTCTCTTTATATTTATTCTATCACCTCTGTGCAATGTAAGCAAAGTTATTAACTGAGAGAAACAGTACTGGGGAAGAAGTTGAAAGTTTGAGGAGAGAGGAGAAAGAATAGAATAGCTGTCTAAGAGAGTGGAAGAGCAAAGGGAATAGGGTAAGTCGTATTTTGGGACAGCATTCTTGTCTATTGGGAGTTAGGGATCATGTATGATTATATGGTTTTCTGAGCCAGGGTCAGATTCCCTGGTTCAAGTGTGGAACAGCTAGATTGCTAGATTGAACCATTGTGTTTGTTCAAGGCATGACAAAGAGAGGGCAAGGAGTTTGAAGGTTTGTTTAAGGGCACAATTGATAATGATTGATCCTTGATTTTTAGCTGAAGAAAGAGGGTAGCAAAGATATTAGAGAGATGAGGTTCAATGAAAAGGTTGTGCAATCAATAGTCCGTAGGGACTGGCGGGCTCAAAAGATTATTTACTATAGGCACTGCTGGTCAGAGAGCAGGTTTTTGAAACTGAGATTATGGAGAGATTGTCATAATTGGAATAAAAGGTAAAGGTACCTATGGGGTAAATCGCCAAGGTTGGGTGTTAAACAGGATATAGTGGGAGGAGGAGAAGTCAAGGAACTGCAGAACCAGGATATTGGAATGATCAATACATTCACCAGTATTGGCTTCTAAGATCTCTGGCTTATAGAATCATTCTTAAGTCCTTTGCACCCTCATACCATCAAATAATTTTGTGCTTTCATCTGTTATTTTTAGGGTTTTTTACATTTAATTATTTGATCTCTTAGAAATTTTTCTTGAAGCATGATTTGAAATACCAATACAACTTGCTTTTTTTCCAGACTCATACCTAGTTGTCTTAAGACAATTTGTTGAACAGTCTATATTTTTTACCACTGATTTGAGATAATATTTTTATTATAAATTAAAATTACATATGTATTTAGCCCTACCTTTGAATGTATTCTTCTATTGTTTTTGGTCTGTCTACTTACATATTAGTACCATACTCTTTAAATTATTGAGGTGTTATGCTTTAAATTTGTTGGACTAATCCAGTTAAAGATAATTGACTTTGTGATTTAGAGACGTTTTATTCAAGACTTATGCCCCTTAAAGATTTTACTCTATTGGTCTAATAAATTTCTTGCTACATTTATTATTGTTTTATCTATATGTATATAGGTATATTTGTTACTAATATGAAGTCTTTTTCTCATGATATCTTTTAGCTTGTTGGCTTTTGTTCATGCGAAAACCACTGATTCCTACATAAAATTTCTTATCCTGTTACTTTACTCAATTCTCTTGCTTGTGATAATTTTCTAGTTGATTCCTTTGTATTTCAAGGTGTACAGTTATATCATCTGCACAGAGTGAAATTTTACTTCCATTTTTTCTAATTTTGTATGTCTAGATTGTGTTCTTATGTTTAATTTCATAGGCTGATAACTCCAGGACAATGTTAAATAATAATAGAGATAGCAATCATTTTTTTTTTGCTTTTGTCTTTAGTAGGAATTCCTCAGTTATGCATAATGCTGGCTTTGGGGAAAAATATTTTCTTATCTATACTTGTGTTATTAATTATTAAAACTTAAGAATTGTCTTTTTAGCATCTAATGATATGATTATATGATTTTTTTCTCCTCTGATATATTAATATGATGAATTATATTGAGTGAATTATATGAACAGATTCTCTAATTCTGAATTATTATTTTTTTTATTATAAAGATGTGGAGTACAATTCAGGATTAGGTATACAAACGTTGATTATGCAGGTACCCTTGCTGATGAGGTGTGCCCCTCCCTCCCCAGCAGTTTCCCTCAACTGCCAGTCCCACCCTCCTCCTCTGACAGTTTCCACTACTGCCAATCCTTCTGAATTATTTTGCATTATTGGAATAAAACCCAGTTTGTCTTGGTTGATCCTTCTTTTAATGTACTGCTAATTAATACATAGGTATTTTTATTATATGCACAAAGAAGATTTGTCTGTAGTTTTTTTAATGTCTCCAGGATTTTGGTATTAATGTTATATTCACTTAATGAACAATATAATTTTTCTTTTCAGTGCTCTGAAGTTTATATGCCATTAGAATTATTTGATCTTTAAAGATTTGTTAGAATTGCTTTATGAAACCATCTGAGTTTGGAGCTTTATTTGGGAATGAGGAATTTAACTCTTATTTTTATTTCTGCTACTGATATTCTCTATTTGGGGTTTTCTTCAGTTTTGGTCAATTTATATTTTCCTAGAAAATTATTCATTTCATCCAAGTTTTCAAATTGATTTGCTTGGTGTTGAACAAAGTAATTTTTTCTTTCTTTTTTTGTGAGTTGGAGTCTCATTCTGTCACCCAGACAGGAGTGCAATGGCTGCTCCAGGCAGGCCACTGCAACCTTGACCTGCTGGGCTCTGGCGATCCTTCCGCCTAAACTTTACAAGTAGCTGGAATTACAGGCGTGCGCTACCATGCCCGGCTAATTTTTTGATTTATTGTAAAGATGAGGTCTCGCCAAGTTGCCCAGTCGGGTCTTGAACCCGTGGGCTCAGGCAATCCACTCACCTCGGCCTCCCAAAGCTCTGGGATTACAGGCTGAGTCACTGAAACTGGCGAACAAAGTAATTTCTTATGATTCTTTTGATTTCTTCTATTTTTATAGATATTGTATTTAAAAATATTTCTATTTCGCCATCATTTTCTCTCAATTAACTTTACTAGTGGCTTATTTATTTTAATGTTATTTTAAAAATTATTTATTTTTAATTAATTTAGTTTTACTGTTTTTCTGTATTCTTACTCAGAGTAAATTCTCCTTTATATTTTTAGTAATTCCTGCCTTTTGTTTTCTATTGGTTTATTTTGATATTTTTTTCTAAATTTTTGAGTCAAGTTTTTGTCTTTTGTTTTTTTTTATGAATTAAGAAAGATAGATTTATTAAAGGAAAGGTACATTGCGAAGGGCACAATAGGCAAGACAACAATGAGAGTGTCTGCTGCCAAATTTTTGTTTTTTTAAATTATTTTTTATTGACTCAGTTTTCACTCCCCAAAATTTCCTAAAAACAGCATTTGAGCTGCTGCACTTTATAAA